CAAAAGCAAGGCAACCTTGGAAAATACAAAACACTGTTTTCAGAAAGAGTCCATGGTACAAAGAAACAGGAAAGGACCTGGAGCTCTCAGGGAAGATGTATTTAGCTAAAAAGCAGACCCAGAATGTATTAAAGAGAGCATATCTGAAAAATCAGATTGAAACAGGTATGACTGCTTTCTCTGAATACATCTGGTAGTCAAAGCAAAACAAAACCAATGTACTTGTAAACAAGTAAAAATCAAGAAGGAACTTACATAAATTTAAAACTCAAGACTTGGTAGTACTCAGCTCAGTTAATTTTCAAATGTCTGGAGTGGGTATTTTACTAAAATGGTGCCATTCAAGTTACCAGATGAATGTAAGGATGAATTTCATCCTGATTCCCCTGAAGGATGAATTCATCCTGAAGGATGTGTGGCTAATGCACGCACAGCAGTGCCAAGCCTAGCCTGGCATAAAGACTCCCTGCTTCACAATAAATTTAATTTATAAAAATATGGGTGAGTATCTTACAGCTAAGGCAACACAAGGATGGTGTTTTGAGCTGCAAGGTGTGTGCACAAGAGTAATACAAATTGATTTATATTTAGTGCAGAAAATACTTGGCCCTTTAAAATTGTTCAGAAAGACTGAGAATATTCTCCTCATCAGCAAGGTTTCTGCACTTGACCAGCCTCCTCCAAATATTTAATTGCCTCAGTAATCATATTCCTCTTTGTTAAAAGTATTGGCAGAATGAAAGCCAATATGGTTTTGGTTTTACTCAGTGATTGGATCTTCTTAGAAAGCCCCCATGAAAACCATTCTGAAGTCACTCAGCAGCTACTGCAAACAGCATCTCTGAGGAATGTTGACTTAGAAGTGATGGGAGATCACTCTGCTACCGAAATGGAAAGGTCCTGCCCTTCCTGTACAAAAGAAGGATTTTATTTCAGCAGGAAAAGCAAGCTGATCTGACTGCACACGGCCTCTGAATGACTACTCAGCCTTGAAGAGGAGGTAGGAATGTGCCTTTGGGTGCCCAGCTTACCTCAGTGAGCCCTACATGCCTTAGAAATGAAATGTACTATCTTTGATGCATTAACCACCTTTATTAGATATTTTTATAATCTATTAGGTGAATAAACAAAGAGATGCTTTTATTTCAAAACTGTTTTTAAGCCAGCACTATGTAAAAGTAATTGAATTTTTCAATACTATCTTTTTTTTTTTTTTTTTATGAATTATTAAAGAACTTCAACCTAATTCCCTTTCTTGAGAAGAGAAATTTGTGACTTTTGAGTTTTGGACTGTTGTCTTTGCTCCATACCCACCTCCCCAGGAAGCACAGCCAGCCTTCCCAGTCGTGAGCTCTCTGACACTTTCCCAGGGTATTCACTCAGTTGCTTTAGATAAGTTTTTTTTCTTCTAGTAACTATTTTCTGTCTGAAATCAATTGCTTTTTAGGGAGCAACCTCACTTGTGGTTTAATAATTGTGGTGTCAATAATTGAGCAGACCTCTGACAGTCTCAAAACATATTTTTCAACTTTTTGGGTCCATTATTCTGCCCTTTTTTTTTGAGGCTAAACTCTTTTTCTCCCCACACAGTAAATCACTCACCAGAGAGCTTGTTACAGGAATAGTTCTGTTCAATTTTCTGCTATCTTGCATCTTCCAGCACATTGGGTTATATTTAATTTCCATTTGTTATCCCACTATGGGGGGAACAGTAACAGTTTTGTGAAAACTGTTCCTGAAGGTTAACAGTAATGTGACAAAAGATTAAAAGTACCATAAATGAGCTAAAGGAAATCTGGTCTAGACTGCAGGATTTTGTCTTACTTCACCTCATGCTATTTAATGAAAATACTTTATGGATGTTTAGTACTGGGGTGCCACAAGTCTGCCCACCCTCCTTTGAATAAAGAAGATGTAACTTTACAGAAATTGGTATTTGTGACTTTAAAACAGCAGCAGTGGAAGGAACCCCTTTCACTGATAGTGAATGTCCAGGAAGAAGTGAGGTGTGAGCTTTGTGTCCACAGGACTGAAACCAGCTCTGGAAGGACAGAACCTGGGGAAGATGTTGAAGGTAACAGGTTTTTGCTTGGGATGGAAACCCCATAATGGTGTTTAAAAATGTTTTTATTTTTAAATAAAATAAAATTGTGTCAGGAGTACTGGCATCATCCAGCTTTTCTTGGTAATGCAGTCCTTCACCTACCTGGCAGGACATGGTCATTCCCCTGTTTGGAAATCATGGACATGAAAACGCAGCTGGCATGAAGAGATTTTGTAGCACAGCTCTAGAAGTCACGTCACAAAACTCACAATGAGAATTTCCAGTTAAAATAACTGATTAGGAATGAATTGAGCTCACAGATTTACATTCTTAGCTTGCTCAGGATACAAATAACACTCCAGAGTGGTCTGCTCAGGAAGCAAATGTCAGCTTGGGTCGAGTTTGTTTCTAAAGCAGCCTCTGAATAGAGGGGAGGCTTTTTTGCTGAAAATGTCTGTGTGGGGATCTGGCCACTGCTGGGTTAATGTTCATCATCAGAGAGCAGGGAAGCAGCTCCTGGATTTAATGAAGACTTCAATGCTGTTAGCCCAAGGGAATACTGATGAAAGGAAAGCACCTTGGCTGGTGGAGCCTTATTTGCTCTGCCACACATCAGTCACGTGCTGTGGGCCTCGAGAAACACAAATAATTCTGAATTGTTTTACATAAGCCTGTTCTTCCCTGTCCCAGCCCTGCACAGTGGAGGTTATCTGAAGGGCATCTGCACTGAAATTTGCTGCACTAAAATTTTTAATACTGAATTTGCATTAGACTACTCCTATTTCTGTTCATGATAGTTGTACATAAACAAGTGCACAATATTTCAAATTACAAAAGTCATTAACTTTTAGGAACTAGGTGCCAATGCCATAAATTGAAAATCCAAGTATTTATTTGTTCAGGATAACTGAAGAACAAGAAAAAAAAATCACGTATTTTAGCAACATCTCTATTATATCCAGAGACTCAGAATATTCCTCTTTTCTGTCAAAAACTTCCCATTATTTTACTTCCTGTAGTCATCCAATCTTTACAAATACAGCATTATTTCAAAGAAGATGGAGAAAACCTGCTGGCTGCCTCTTTGTGGGGAGGTCACAGAGCAACAGACAGAGAGAAGAAAGAACACTGTACATATCTTCCATTTCTAGTCTCCAGATTTCCTCTTTAACACTACTAGAATACTCTTGGAAGGTTTTGCTTATTTGATCTTATTTTTTTCTTATTTTTTTTTTCCTTAGACACAGGTGATTTTTACAGATACTGGCTCAAACTAGCAAACAACATCATCTACCTGAATTTCTCTGCCTTTAAATAGGCATTAAAAAAAAATCTCATTAAGAGAAATGTATAAATTTCTGGGAGTATTATGTTGCAGCTCATTTTCAAATTACAATCAATGAATTGATAATAATTAAGGACTGATGCCCTTAATCTACCCTTGGTAGTAATTGTTTCCTTGAAGACCTTCCACCCTGAGTAGGAGACATCCTCTTCTTGCACTTTGTGCTCCTTGACCTGGGGATGTGCCAGGGAGGTGAAATGTCATGTGTTTGACAGATGGAAAGGCACAAATAATATGAGCAAAGCATCAAAAAATAAACCAAAAAAACCCCCCAAACCCTGACCAAACCTGCTTGAGGTTGTTCCTTTCCTTTTATTGGCTGCCTGGTGCCTAAACTGACTGATGGAACCAGCAACAACCATAACAACCACATTAACTGTGAAATAATAGTGAGCAATAGAAATACACCATTACCACCTCTGCAAAACTTAATCAATAAAATACCTAAATTAAAAAAAAAATAGAAATGAAAAAAAATTCATCAATTACACCCATTTTAATACAAATCCCAAGCTAATTTGGGGGTACTTAATTTATCTGAGATAACTCCACAAAATGGAAGCAGAACATTTCTTCAGTTTAGAGACCATAATTAGTTTTATAGAATAAATAATTTGAATAGTAAGATCTGTTAGAGAATGTGGAAGTAGTTCATAGGTATTGTGGCTTTTTTTAACAAAAATGCTCTTCAAAGTACTTGGGTACTAGTACATCCCAAAAAACTGAAATGTGGTTCTGCTCTAGGTGAGGGATGTGGAAATGAAATCCTGCCATTGCAAACACTTCATTATTAGCTCTAGACCAGAGCTTCTCATTTGACAAAAAACTTTTTTTCCATCTAAATGTCAACCTGCAAATCTACCTTTAAGTACAACAGCCAAACTGATTTTTTTCCTTCTCAATCATTATGTTTAAAAATTACAGTTATGAATGTCCAGTTAGTCCTGAAGGACACCTGCATAATGTGGTCACATCCAATTGGTTTGTCTATAATCCAGTCCTCATTTCCATCTTAATTCCTAATAATTAGTGGCATATCTATCTTCCCTGTACATTGTCAGCTGGGGGTTTCTCTATTCCAGACAGGGTATGGATCCTTACAGCCTTTTTAGAAAATCAAATTGATTCCTACCAAAATATCTCAATAGCAAGACAGGAATCAGTTCAAAGATGCTTTTCAGTCCCAGTGAGGGTGCCTTGGCTCCTGCATGCCACAAAAGCCAATCCTGAACCTGGAACAAGATAACCTGAGCAACTCCAACTCACCTGGCAGGAGTGCCTTCAAAAACCTTCTTTTAAGGAACAGTAGGCAAATCAGCAGCATTTTTTTTTTAATCTTCCAGAATATTCAGACTGACTCATAAGACAACTTATTATTAGAGTCTTACTCCTTTTTGTCTGGTCCACTCTTTGTTCTGGCATGGCAAATGGAAGCAAATGTGGGATTACCATCTACTTTGTTAGCAGCCTTGCAATGAGGCAGAAGAATAGCAGCAGTTTTCCACACCAGTGCCATAAGCACCCTACTTTCCTTACTGCAAGGTGGAGGGAAAACACCAAAGCAAAGAGATTTCAATAAAAAATTAAAACAGAAAAGCTCTTCAACCTTACCTTGCCAGCCTGGTTTGCACACGGGTTTGACATTAACGTGCACCAAGACATCTTCTGTTGCGTGTTTCTGCCCACAGTCAAAAGCTGTCACCAGTATCTCATACTGGTGCTGTTTATCATAGCTCAGTTTCTCAGTGTTCCTGATGTTACCTAGAGGTTCAACACAAGAAAACATTCAGAGATTCTTGGCTGAGCACGCACAGACTGCAACGTTTGGGTCCTGGTTCATCGAGTGCTTTGTGACTTTGAGCTCTTTGAAGCACACGGGACATGCACAGGAAGGACAGGTCAGAGGAACAGGAAAGATTTTCTTTCAATCCAGGAGGGAAATTAAGAAACTTGTAGGCAAATATAAGATGGGAAGGATACCATGTGGGCATGGCTCTATCAGAAAACATCTGATCAACAACACTTTCTAAAGAGGGTAGAAGTAATTAAATCTTGTTAAATCTTGACACGTGAGCTGTGAGTAGGCTCACCCTTCTTTTCCACATTTGCCCCAATACATGGCTTTAACAGCCACATTCCTGAGATCCATTACTGAACCCAGGTATCTTCCTGATTTCCCAAAAGCTATTACCATGTAAATGAGAGACATTTTAAAAACAGGAAAATCCCCAGAATCACCTCCTGCTCTGCAGCACTCAGCAGTATTTGATAGGGCAGCACAGAGTTATCACATGGAAAAGAAAGCCCAGCAACAACAGGGTTTATCTGCTGAACCTGACACACATATAAAGGTGACAAATTACCTGCTTTGGGAACAAAGATATCCAAACTTTCAAATGGAAAGGGAAAGATTTCTCTCTGAATAGTTCCTGGAGGACTGGGAGAGCACCATGCAAAATGCATGGGTTTTCTATTAACAAGGTCAGCATTTTAATTCTGTCCATTTCCACCGAAATTTACTTTTTGCACAAGTTGAAACTTCATCCTGTCTAATTCATTTTGTGCTTTTGCTCAGGCCTATTTGTTTTACCATCTCTTTGAATGAGGGTTTCTGTTTTAGAATTCAAGGGAAAAACTTATTCTGCAGCAGTGCTACACACAACAACTGCTTTCAAGCAAGGAGCAGCAAAATCCAGTTGTTTGTGCTAAATTTGAAAAGGACAGCTGGGCAGCCCCCATGTCCTGGAGTTTAGTCAGATGCAGTGAACTGATCCCCACAGGTGCTGGCCAAAGTCTCTTTTGTCAGGCACACAATGTTAGGTTTGGTTTGGGCATTTGAGTTTCATTTTCTTTTTCCTTTTCACTCAAATGAGTGAGAGACAGGAGAAAGCAGACAAATGCAGCTTCTTAAAAGAAGTCTTTCAGTATTTATTTGACAAGTGAAGACTTTTCAGCAGGTGTCTCTGCTGCACACTCCTTATCTTGTCAGAGCCCACTTTTCTTTCTACTACTGCTACTACTACATTAAAGCTTAGGAGTTTAATTGAAATGGATGCAAAACTTTCCAGGTCAGGCCTCAAGGAAGGCTCTGCTGTTTGCATTTATCACCACCTTTAGGTTCAAAACCTGTAGCTTAAATAGCCCCTGGCAGCTGCAGTTATAGGTCAGGCCCAAAAACCCATTTACTGCTGACTCTCCCTTGCTCCCTCAGTGAGCAGGGCACAGAGGAGGACAAGCCCTTCTCGTATTTTTAAGTCTTGGAAGGAGAAATGAAACGAGCTGCTGAAGGCTGATTTGGAAACAGGACAGTGCCCTGCAGACTCTGGGGTTCTCTCCCTGGGGTACCTCATCTTGCCAGGCATTTTCAGGCCTGCCATGGGCACAGCTCTTTCTTCCCCACAGGAACAGCAACAACCACCACCAACTCCTTCACTGGGCTTTGAGTGAGTGATTGACAAAACAATCTGATCACCCATTCCACTGTCTTCAGTTGCCTGATTAGTGGCTGCCTAAGAGGATTTAAACTGCCACTGTATATACTTAATTACTGATTTTTCATCTGCTCAGTTCTTCTGTCCTTTCTGCATTATATTATTTCTTACATGATTCTTTGTATTTCCTTTTTATTTCCCTATTTGTTTTTTCTTGGTATTATTTTAGTCTGTGATCAGCAAAGATAATTCTCAAGAAACCAAAATTGTTCAAATTTTCATTAGCAGATGGCTAGAATTGGTGTGGCACATTAACTGTCCTACAAGATTTATAAATCATTACATCATATTTACATTTCATTAAATCTATCTTCCAAGATCTGTATTTGTGTACCTCATTATGGCCATTTTGGATTTGGACTACAAAGATTCTGATTCTCAGGTTTTATTCTGGAAGGTCACTTGGATGACTTGCAGATGCTACCCAATAGTTTATTGATTTCCTAATAACTCTTTTTTTTTACCACTGATGCTTTATGATTCTTTGGGTTTTTATAATTTAATCAATATGATTAAAAAGTAGACACAGAAGGGAAGCAGTATAAACACAGAGCAATTAAAGTTTTAGAGATGACAGTCCGCAAGTTTCTATTTACATCTCACCCACAGACAAAAAAGTTAATAACATTAAAAAGAGAAAATTTTAATGGGAGAAGTAACTACATGTCTATTCAATCCAAAATCAGGCCACACAGGTTTTTTTCAGTCTCCCCAAATATCTGCCTATTCCTGGAAATACCCAGAGCTATAACCAATTTTCAAACAACAAAAAGCAGATCAGTGACTACAGGAGTATAAAAAGTCCTTCCTGAGGACACAGACATTTACACCTCTGCTTCTTCAAAGTCAGTTTTAGGGATAGATGGATATAGACACCCCTCTTTTACAGCTCTTCCACCTTACTCTGGAGCACTCACCAGGATGGGGAAAGACTTGCTCCTGCTGCAGCTCTGGGTGCTGTTAAGGGGGATCTTGTGAGACCCTGTCCTGTCTAGGATTTGTAATCTGATAAAACTTGTACTGCCTGGACAGGTCCCTGTCTCATCCTCACATGGAACAGTCTGAACACACATTTGTGAAGTGCTCCCCAGAGCTGGGTGGCAAGTAAGAGTCATCCCCATTTTTGAGGTGAGACTAGGTCAGAGCCATGACAGAATTTCTATTTATACCTGAGTTCCCAGATTATCTGACCATAATCCCTGATAAATAAAGCACAAGATATGTGAATAGAAATGAGTTTTTCTGGCATTCCAACAGATCTGTACATTGTGGTTTAATTTTTCTGTAATTTTTCTTTTTTTCTGAAAAAAGCCTACCCAGTATTGCTGCAGTAACTGACTTGATTTGGATTCTCTGCTAAGGAGAAAATGAGACTAATCTCTATGCAATACTGCTTTAAAACATATTACACCTCATACCTTTAATCACAGTTCTTTGCACAGCAAAGCATAAATTTGTCCTCTGCCTTTACAAGACTGTATTTTATGACTCAGAGTTCATTACCCTCCAAGTTGGGCTCATCACATACAAGAGTGAATTTTATTAGTGCTACAGTTTCAGAACACAAAGTAATTTTATCCACAAAGAAATCACATATCAAGGGCCAGGGTTCCCAAACATAACTGGGAAGTTTTGTATTACCTCCCCAAAGTGCCTAAGTTACAAGGACCTGTAGGAAATACCCCCAGAGCTGATGCTGCTTCCTGAGCCCACCCACTCCTGCCTCACATGGAGTGGGGCTGAGGCAGCCTGGGCACCAACACAGCCTGCAGGGCTCTCTCTGCCACTCTGCAAAGCTTCCCCAATGTGGAATATCATTTTTTCAAGGCCAAAAAGTGCTCCATGCATGGATCTAGGGACAAGAAATCAGTTTTACCTAACAAGACAGTGACCTGCCTAAAGAAAAAGGGCTGATGAAATAGCTTCACTTTTTTACAGATTTATATTTGGGGTTATTTCCATATGTTTGTCATGAAAAACATCCACCATCTGGGGCAGACAATGGCATGTTTTCCTCACAATTCACCCCCACCTCCATCTTTTGGGGCCTCCTGTAATATTTAGATTTGAATTTAAGGTATCTGGTTATACTCTTTCTGAGCAATGAAGCTCCACATGTAGGTGACCGAAAAGCATAAAAAAAATCACAAGCCTCAGAAGACACAAGAACCTAAATCTGTATTTCACAATGGCTAAAAAAAAATCCCTGTTAACAAAATCCTAATTAGCACAGTATTACCAGACAGTCCCAGGCATTTCATACATCTATTTTAACCACCCTGCAGGGAACAAAAATGGGCAAGTTTCCAAAGAATTTGCACCAGAGACAGTTTATATCAGCTGCCATACAGAGACATTCTCAGCAGTGAAATGTGTTGCAACTAAGCAACATACTTCTGTCACAAAATGAAAGTATAGCCATCTATTCTAACTTTGTCTCTAATCCCAGTGGGTTTAAGCAATTACCATTATCTTTAAAAATTGCAAATTAGACTGCAATTACTGTTGGTTGTGACAGCAGTGTTCTTTTAGTGAACAAATAGATCAAAAATATTAATTGAATTAATGACCAAGAAACTGCGAGTATTACAACCTTACACCAATTATTCACTGCAGGCTTTAAAGTCACATTTAAATCAATGGTTTTCTCATTGCCTTTGCTGAAAAGCAGGTCCCAGGCAGATGAGGACAAAGATGTAACCAAGGACTCCTGACATTTCCCATGCTTTTGATCATGTCTGTGGCTGCAGAAAGACATGAGCACTCCTGAGGCAGCTGCTCTGTGTCACAGGAGCTGAAAAGCAGAAATGACTGGTCTGTACCACACCAGTTTCAGGGTATTCTCTGTCCCTTACATCTGCCACAAACCTTGCAGAAAATCAGACACAACCTGCGACTTCTCCAAGTACCCACCCTCCACACAGGCAAGTCATGTGGAGCCTTGGGAAAAAATGGATTCAGAGACATGGAGAACTTTCTTTTATGACAAGGGAAATCTCTCAGATAGAAAAAAAATCCATGGAGAGGAAAACTGGGAATTCTAGGGAATTGCTTCCAAATGTCTCCTTCCAAATGTGCACTTGCTGTAAAAAATCCTTTGTGCAGTGCTCTGGATTCTCTAGAATATGTGCCAGTGCCTGTATTTATGCAAACACAAACACACTCCTTGTGATTGCACTTCCTATACCATATGCTTGCTTCCCAGTGTGTGGTAATGAGAGGGAATTTTCCCCAAAGTCATTACAGTTTATTGATGTAAAGGGTTATTGTCTTCTGATGCTCATCTGTGCATTGTGCAAGAGCTGCACAAATACAGATGAATAATCTTTGAACAGGGTAAAGAGTTTTTATAGAACACCCCAACATTAAAATGACTGCTCAGAGAAAACAGTGGCTCCATGCACACTTTCAATTTACAGCTTGGCCAAAAATCAGATTTAACTTCCAAACTGTACTCTCCTCCTACAAACAACGTGGGTTAAATGTTTCTGCTAGGAGAGAGACAACAGAGCACTCCTGGGTACGCACACAGGGTGTTTCTTCTGGGGAATATATTTTGTATTGTCTGAAGCTAGCAGAGAAAGGGAGTAAGGACCTTCCACACACTTTTCATGCAGGTCAGCCATCATTCCCAAACTCACTTCCATGTTCTTTGCTGTTCCTGGAAGCTGCCATACAGAGAAAAACTACTCCATATGGAAAACTTAATACGGTTTATTATTGTCCCTAAAATACAAAATATATACCTCAGAAAAACAACTAAAACAAAAAAAACCCCAAAGTTTTACCAAAAACTTAAGAATGCTACTAATTCTCCAAAGTACATTTGCTTCCATGCTGCAGAATAATAGATTCACTTCAGGAATCTGACTAGGCAGATCCTAAAAGTGTTAACGACCAATGAACATATGCAGACTATTGCATATTCAGGCTCTGCTTCAGGAAGTTCAGCTGTAATCCAGTGAATAAACCCTGCACTGGGGAATACCTGCTGCCTTGGGGAATGCCATCATTTGGCTGGGAAACATGACCTGAGGCAGTCAGGAGAACGGAGTGAGTGACCAAGAGTCACGCTGCTCACCCAAATCCAGTGGTTTAATTTCCACGGGAGATTACTGCATTGCTTTCTGCCCCAGGGTTACACAAAAGGGCTGGAACTGCTCGCTGTGAGGATCCCTCCATTCTCAGAGATGAGGACAGGATGTCCCTCTGGAGTTCCCTGTCCAGCCAGGTGTTCAGCTGGTGGCCCCAGGCCCTGCAGACTCACCGTTCCTGTCGATGGCAAAGGGCACATCTGCCGTGACGATCTTGTAGTTGCAGATCTGGCTGTACTGGGGGGAGCAGTCCTCGTCTGTGGCTTCCACCTGCAGGATGCTGTCATAGATCTTCCCCTCTGTCACTGAGGCCTTGTACACACTCTCCTTGAATGCTGGGGAGAACTCATTGACATCCTTCACCTGGATATGGACTACTGCCCTGAAAAAGGCACAGAAAATATCAAAGAGAAAAATTAGTTTATTGGGACACCTCACTAACAGATCATTTTGAAAACACTTGAAAAGACTGACAAAATGTATCTGGAAAACTAATAGGTAATTAATAGGTAAGTCCCTATTAAAATGAGATATTGCTGAATTTTTATGTTTAATTTGCCTAATTTAGTATCTTAATGTGGCACGAGGTAAAAGTCCATTGCCATGGCTTGTAGGAAGAGAGTTTCTTGAGGCTCCCTATTAAAATCTGCCTCTAAAAATGAACCGTGGCAGAAAGCAAATGATATAATTACAGGGTAAAATAAGCAAAGAGGAAAAAAATTCACAGTAGTCTTCCATATCCACTACCTAAAAATGGTCAGTTTACAAACATTCTTCCATATTAATTAAGGCTAACACCTTCTGCTGCTGATAATTATCTAACCCTTCAATGAGTTACAGCACTGTACATTTAGCCCACCAAGGCCTTTGGTATTTAGTGAATAAACCCTCAAGGCCTTGCTTGGTAAGAATTTGCTTTCTGGTTTGATGGGCAGGGTGCCAGAGGGACGCAGAGGGATGTCCTGGAGCAGTGGCAGAGCCACAGTAAAGGCTGGAGCCCCAGGCAGTGTGGCTGAGACTGTGCAGCTACCAGGCAAAGTCTGCTGGCAGTGGGCCAGATTTCATTTAGTCAAAATTAGACAAAAAATTTCCACAACTGTATTTCTACCAGATTGTTACTGATATAAGAGGGGGGAATACAAGAAAACTCGATATTGTGAAGCAAAACCTGTTTCTGTGATTTGATGGTGATCTGCTATTGCAGGCTTCCTCCTAGATCTGTATTTTTTTATAAATACCCTGAAAACTTCAGCATGCATTATAGACCTAATTAAATTTTTAATTGTCATGTGTTCTGGATGAGCAAAAGGAAGAATGACTACTATAAATCATTTATTATAATTGCTCTCAGCAAAACGAACTATTTGTACAGCACTTATACATCCATGTGAATTAAATCCATCTTTAATGACAAATGGTCTGGAGCTTAAGTTTCATGAATTCAAAGGGAAGAAAAGCACTGTGCCACCTAAGCTTATTCAGGGAATTGGCTCTACAGTAAAAAGTACCACCTACTGGCTTTCAATACACCCCTCTTCACAGGACTTCACTTTGAGACTCCCTGGACAAAAGCTGGTGTCAGACACCATTCAAATGTGACACTGCTCAGCTTATGACATACAGATACTAAAAAAAGGGGATGATTCCTCTTCTCTTACCCTTTGAAATGAGATGAACAGAGAGAAAACCTGTTTAAAAATTGCAAATATCAATTGAAAGCTGGCTTCTATGACCTGGATGTATTTAACATGAAGGTAAGAATGGAAAATATAAACCAAAACTGAGATGCATTTATCCACCCGAAGGAGAGTCCTGTCTAAAACTTCAACTGGAGCAAGCAAAAAGGAGTGTATTTCCTAATAGGAAAAAGGAATTAAAACATGGGTGGAATATTGCAACAACGGTTCATCTTTGTTTTATTTGCTTTCTACCTGACAATAACACAGACTGTGGGAGTGAATGTATGCCAAAGCAAAAAAAAAAAAATATTTCTCCTCATTTTCACCCACTTGTGAGATTTCTTCCAGTTTTTTCCACCTGGTCCTGATCCACAGTCATAGGCCTGGATGATGAATGTGTATTCCTTCTGCAGCTCACAGTCAACGGGACTCTTCGCTCGGAGCTGACCTTCTCCAGATGTCTTGTTCAGCACAACAGCCTCAAAGGGCATTTCTTGCCCATGGATTTTAAAAGCACAGATTTCACCTGTGAGGAACAGCACAAAACAGTCATAACTGGGGGGGTGGGGTCTGACTCTTTATGCACTGGAGTGACACCTGCAAAGTTCATTTGTATTTCACCTGCTGTTGCTGAGGAGGGAAATACAGGCTCAGACACCAGGTAGTTATGTATCCAAATTATGTATCCAAAAGACCACTGAGCAGGTGCCTGTGTGGTGGGATGTGCTGAGTGCAGCTCCAAGAACACTCCTCCCTCTTCCTCTGCCACTACTAAAAGGTTTCTGAAAGCCCTAGAGGCCATTCCATATGGTACCAACAGCAATGGTGAGCAAATGACTTCTGAGCTAAATTAAGAGACTGTATTTATTTAAAGAAAATAACAAAAAGAACAATAGATAATACTTCAGAGGTGGTCCTTTTTTAAGTGCTGTCACTCCTTGAGCCTCTTGAGCTGCCAGGTGGTAGCTGTGTGGATGTGCAGATTCTTGCAGCTTAGTTTCCCAACAGTGGAAAAACTAATGGTGTGGAACATGGGCACATTCAAAATACATCCTCCTTTATTTACAGACATACATTTTCTTTGGAGCAGAAGTAGCTGAAGGCACACAGACAAGAGTCCCTTTTGGATGTCTCAGTCAGCTACCCACGTTCTCACTCTCATACATGAGCACATTCTTGGCAGCAGCTCGCTCTGCCTCCAAACTGCTTCCTAATATAAAAGATCGGTAGCATCTCTCAGAGGAGCACTACAGAACAGATGATATAGCAAGGACTAAAAAAAATTTGATTTGGTCACAAAAGACAATGTAAAGAATCTTGGGAGAATATGAGACTGGAAAGGGAAAAAAAAGACCCAGTTTCTGGTGTTTCTTATTTTATCCTTCATAATCATAGCAAGAATATGCACAGGGAGTTAATTTTTAACCACTCCAGAATCCAGCTTTAAAAATGAAATATACAAAGATCAATGTAACTTAAATATTTTGATGACACATTAAACACATGCTCTTTTATGAACAAATCAGTCTTGGGACATGCATTATAGATTCAAAGCTGTCTCCCACTCACATAATCCTTTTCCATTTATTTCTAATTTACAGTTGCAGCCTTTTGAAAATCTTGCCAATCATATTTGAGCTAAGTGCCAAATTCTAAATTAACTCTGAATCTATGACCTCTAATTCAGGGCTGGCTTCTCTTTCTCTATTACAATATACTGTTTATTTTTGCAAAAGAGAACAGACAGTGACTTTGTAAAAATGCTGGAGTTCATAACTCCCATTATGTCTGAAAAATAAAAAATGGCAAAGGTGTTTGTGCAGGGAGGGTGGGGATTAGGCACACTGAGGTATAAACACAGGATTTTTAGAAAATTCCCTCGATTATCATCACACAGGTTTACCTTTATGACCACAGGAGCTGAAGCTTTGCTCAGCTACATCCACTGACATCCAGGCAGACAAATCCCACACCTAACAATTGCAATCAATCCTATGAATGTCTTTAAAGGATTGGCACACAGCTGTTTTGGTAATTATGGGGCACCGAAAACATCCATTAAGCATTGCTTAGGCATTTTCCTGCTGCACCCTCTCCCTCCATTGGTGTGAAAGGACCATGGAGTTTCCCAGGACAAAGCTGTGCTCTTTCCCAAGCCCTCTGCTCTTCACCCTCAGTGAGCTCAAATATTTGGGCTACAGAAGAAGCACTGGACTTCAGCCTGAGAATCAGATTTCCAACAAGACTAACACCTTGCACATCCACAAAAGCAGATTGCACAATGGTGATGAACTGTGCACAGGGGCCAAAGCACAGGATGAAGAGAAGGCTGAAGGGAAGCAGCTTGTCCAGCTTTAATCATGGGCACTGATCTCTGAGTTTGTATCCCACTGCTGTCACACACGACTTTTGAAAAAAATTATTCACACTTCTTTGTAACTACAAAATAAAACATTCATCTGAAGTGATACTGTGGATTTCAGTGCAAACATGGGAAGTCTAATGGAAAATACTGTTTGTTGTGTTCTATAAAGACTGGCCTTCATAGTTTCTTAACAGTTTTCCTCAGATGCACAATCCATCAACAGAAATCCTGACTTCAGTGGTTTGTGTTTATTATTTTATTGATCCACTGTTTGATTGCAAACAAGACAGCATTTGCAGACATCCAAGCTGCAGTTCTTAAAAAACAGAAATAGCTCTGGGCAGAAAAAAGTTTTCTTGGCCCCAATCTAAATATTTATCATTTTCCCTCTCCAAAGGCAGAGCCCTAATGCAAAGCAATCATAGATGCAGCATAGATCCCAATTAGTTCTTGTGAAATATTTCAGAAGTCTTTATATCCCACTCCTATGCAAGATACTCCAACTTTAAATATAACTCTAATTTTGTCTCCATATTCCCATTTGCCAAAGATAAAAAAATGACAGCTGCCTGGAAATGATCAGATATTTGTAAACACACTGCAAAAACCCCACATACAGTTCCAGAATGTGGCCACAGAAACCTGCTTATTTTAAAACAACTTCAAATGTTTTGAAAAACTGGGTAAGTTGTTTTGTTTTTTTCTTCAAAAGAAGGGCTTTACTGTTGTTTCCAAAGAAATTAAATAATACTGTAGAAAAAATTTAAATGTATAGAATCATGATGTTTTTAAATGTTTTTAAAATGGCTGTAATGCAAGTGGAAATGATAACAGAGTTGTAAGAGCTGTAACAAAGCAGAAAAGATAAGCTGGTGACACCATGTAAAGGTAGAAGCACATTCATTAAATCCCATAACAATTTCCAGGGCAGAGGGAAAGTATCTCTTCTGCCAGGCCAGGAAACACATTCTGAGGGCTTCCTATAAAACCTGATTGCAGGGTTGAACTCTGCTGAGAGTTTCACTTTAATACATGTTTTAACTAAACTCTGGACACATTTTTTCTTCAAATCATTCAGACTATCATTAGTAATAAGCACGTATTAATTTTTAAGTTTACATTTTTTTCCATTTGAAAGCCTTGGTAGATCCATATGTTACTACTGCAGGGATAATAAGGAAATAATTTCCTCTGTAAAAATTATAATAGCCTGAAAAAAAGCTACTGATGGTTCATAATTTTTGAACCATAACCAACAAATTTATCCACTGTTTGGAAACTGATAAAGACAATGTTTCACATTCAGTAATATTTACATGCAACATTTAGCGATTGTAAGCCTTAATCAATAAAAATGTATTACAAATGACTGCCTTTTTTATACGAAGCACCAGATTCATGATCCTTGCAGTAAAATAACAAACCCCCAGTGTTACTCCTTTAATAACTACACAGCCTCATTCCCTTGAAATCAATTTCAGAAGTTATTAAAAAATCACTGCATGCTTATTTGGCCTTTCACTTATTGGGCTTATTGGCCCTTTGCTGTTTCCTCAGCCTTCACTGCACCAAGAATACTGAAGACTTCAGATGGAAAGCTGGAATCTCTGACATTCTATCATTGCCATCAACAGTTAAAAAGGGTTACACAGTTCACATACCAGTTGTATGTGAACCAGGAATCACCAAATGCTGTTTCACTGGGCTGCAGGCTGGGGCACAGTGGCTCAACAGGACCTGGGGGTGCTGGTCACCAATGGCTCAACGTGAGCCAGGTGTGCCCAGGAGGCCCAAAAGGCCAGTGGCAACTGGACCAGTGTGGCCAGCAGGACCAGTGATTGTCCCTCTACACTCAGCACTGGGGAGGCCACGAGAGGGGAGCTGGAGAAGGTTGGAGCACCAGGCTGGTGAGGAGCAGCTGGGGGAGCTGGGGGGGCTCAGCCTGAAGGAAAGGGGGGTCAGGGCTCTCTGAGAGAAGGCTCTGGTGGGATGGGAGTCAGTCTGTTCTCCAGGGTAACAACTGATGGGGTGAATGAATGGCCTCAAGTTGCACCAGGGCAGCTTCAGACTGCAGGCCAGGAAAAATGCTTCCACCAGAAGTGTGGGTTAGGCACTGGCACAACCAAACCTGGAGGGATTCAGAAGACATGGAAATGTGGCACTCAGGGACATGGGTTAGTGATGGGCTTGGAAGTGCTGGGTTAATGCTGCACTCAATGATTTTAAAGGTCTTTCCAACCTCAGTGATAACTGCGTGCTCAGGCAATCCCGTGATTCCTCATGGGAATGGAGCTCACGCTGCTGTGTCCAGGACACATCTGGGTGTGTGACTACACACATGGATTTGTTCCTGAAACCATCTGTTAACTTCAACTGTGTTTTAAAAAGATGAATTGTTTCCCTCAAGTGCTATGAAATGATGCAGCTCCACAATACAGAGATGCTACAGAAAAAGCACAGAGGTGACAAAGAGGTCACATCTCACTAAACAGCAAACAGAGCACACAAAAGTGTTTTAAAAGCTCCACAAGAAGAAAAGCTTCAATTACATCTTGTACCTTTTAGGTAGCAGTAAATCAAACGTGAAGCTCAAACCTCTAGGAAACCAGGCTTCATTAGTTTGCTGCTGACAAAATGACTCATTTACATTCATATCCTGTTCTAATTTTATTACTCTCCAGCCTTTTATTACACTTTCATGCGTGTTTTTCTCCAACGTGCAAATCAACATAGATAATGCCTTATGCAAAATTAAGGTTGCAGTTTTATACTTCCTGAGGTAAGCACAGAGACCCAAGAAGATCCTCAAGCACCTAAGAATCAAAGCCCCAGGATCACATGGCAAATCCACTCCCACCTTGAAGGAGACAAAACCCCTGGCCAGGACAGATGTATATCAAGTTTTGATGCAAAGAACAGACAGAAATGCCACGGTCAAGGTGTTACAGTGACCTCTAAAGCTTTGCACATGCATGACAACAACACTGCTGTTTCCTTGGGTGTGTCCCTCAAGAACTTAATTCAGCTCCACAGATCCATCAAGTGCTAACAGAGGGATCTAGGAATCACCACTGATGAATCTTCTCCATGCACTACATGCCACCAGAAGGCTTCCAAGAATTTTATGTAACGTGTGGATTTGCTTGCAGCGTGACTTTCCT